ATCGGGAGAGAACTGAGCCTTCAATACGATCTCAGGGGGAATAATACCGCCACCAGTAACCGCATGGGCAACCACATCCGGACTCTTCTCTACTTGAGAATTTTTATCAGTCAATCCTCGTGAGAGTCGAAACCCTTCACCCCCAGACGATTGACGGCAACGATAGGGTCGAACGAAAAACTGGCCGTTGGGAAAGTCTCCATCAGGCATCGAGGTCTCCTTACGGAACCCGAATATACAATACGGCTTCCCTCTACGGTTCTTACCACAATAGACCACATCGGCTTTCGTCAGAGCTTTAACCTTCTCACGGTTCTTAGAGTCGGCACCAGCACCATAGAAGACGGAGACACAGGACTTCTCGATGTTCTCAATCTCCTGGATACGAGCAACCTTAACAGGGGACGAAGTGGGATGACTGTGAACAGTAGGGTCCTTGCCCAACACCTCAGAGTCCTCAAACGAACGACATGCCGACCTTATAGCCCCAGAGACACTCGGACCAGAAGTAGAGAAAAGAGGAAGTAGAGATTCCCAATCCTGGTGGACATCATCTTCAAAATGCCACACCCCTCCTGACATTGCTTGATGACAACTGCGTATTCTATCAACAGTATGCTTCCTAAGATTCATAGGGAGCTTACCAACGATAAGGCGGGTCATCAATTTCAACTCACTCCGATCGGAAGGATATACCTCACCATACAAAACATAAATACCCTTAACCTTCCGCGAAAAGGAATCGCACGAGCGAGTGCCTTCAAATCGCAACTGTGCCAGGCGTCGCTGGTACTCCTCCTTCAGTGGTAGCCGAGAGCAGAACTGCTTGGTGGGGGAATCTACCAAGGACTGCCACCTATAGGCATTATCACCAACCTCCTCAAGGGCAGCTTCCTTGACCTCCTTCTCCTCAAGAGTTGCTAAGAATGCAATGGTGATGGTACACTCAAGGGTCTTCACTGGGACGAAACGTTCCTCGCCACGACTGCTCATATGTATTCCCCCACCAGCCTCCACTAGTAGACGACCAAAGGCACCCAGATGAGCCTTGAGTT